TGAAATCAATGAGACTACTCATAACTACAGTTATTCATATGCATCCATGTTAGCTGGATCAGGCATTTCTACAGAACAGGTATCCCAGTAGAAAGAAACTGTACAATGGCAGCTCTCAGACACTGAAGTGTATAAGCCTACATAGACAACTCTCTAACAACAAATTTGTTAGAGACAGCAGTGAGTTACCAAGTGCAAAAAGTCCTTGAATATGTTAACCTTCAGTTGGGCAATACTAAAGTCAATTTTTAAAGAGTGGCTGAGCAGTCACTAATTAAATCACAACACAAAACTAGGGGCAATGGGAGTTCTTCTCCACCCTCAAGTTAATGTACTTGAACATAGTTAGAGATGATATTTTCCATTTTTGGCTTTGGGAGGGGTTTTTGTCTAATAAGTTAATTTTCATAACATATGCTTTGGGGCCATGCACTAAGGATTTAAACTAAAACAAAACAGGCAGACCTAATGCCCTGTCACCAATACTCTACCCTTTTATGTATAAATAAAATTAAAAATCCCAAGGAAGTGACAAAAGGGGGGTCCATGTTTAAATGTTTCCACTCTCATTACCTCCTCCTTTGTTGGCTTCATCTCCTCCATGGCATGACTTTGTCTAACAGTCTCAGGAGGAGGTGGAGTGCTGCTGTTCAAAACACCCTACAGAAAACAGACATTTAACACAATATGTCACTTCCAACAAATTATGTAACAAAAAAGGAGGCAGAAACAGCACAAATGAAAAAGGCAAGCAATTGCCAAGTAAGCAAAAGATGAAAGAGTCAGAGAAACATGGGGTCACCCTGACAATTCACAGGTAGGCAACTCCCTAGCTTCATTGCTCAGTAACAGCCACGGACAAGACAGAAGGAAGTTAATCATATGATAGGGACTTTCAAATGCCTCTGGCAAAGCCCCTTAGAGAGACTACTAAGGAAAGCCTAAGGTAAAAGGTAAAGTTCTGTCATGACTAGAAAGCTGGCTAAGAGAAAGAAAACACAACAAGACTCAATCAACATCAATAAGGCCACAAAGGACCTGTCTGCATGGGGAAGCTACTGTGAAATAAACTTGTGTTCTACTTAAGCAAAACTGTCGTTTCTCACTCACCTCCACGTGAACCATATCATTCTGCGCTAAGAGTGCTTTTGTACAGTTTAGCTTTATTTAGAGAAAATATCTAAACCACCCAATGGCACTTGGTGCAGAATAAAAGCATCCATACAAGGGCTAGGGAGGAATAGCTAAGGTGCTTAAATATAACACCCCATAGACCATTTCCTTCAGTTGCTTGTATTCAGGTTGCTCTCTTCGTATTTCTAGTTGGCACTTGTAGCCATTTTATGCTTCCAGTTGTGAAGATACCCTTCAGGTTCTTCTGTTTCAGGTGCTGATACATTTCCACTCTTCTTCATTCTCTTTTCTACCCCCATCACTTAACTTTGTTGCCTGCCCATTGGATCAGTGTGGATTGACCAGACCAAGGTATCCAGGGAATCCTCCATAATGATTCTGCTAGGTGATCATCAGTTTCTCAAGAGCATGAATCTTCTCCTCCATCTGGTCCACTTGTACTTCATTCAAATGCCATCTCCTTTCTACCCAGGCAAAAAGCAGAAAACAGAACTATCCAGGGCAGGTCACAAACACCAAAAATTCAGACTCCATCCTTTTTCTTGGAGCAAAACAGTATCTATATGGTGAAACCTTCAAAGAATTTCCTACAAACTTGCACAGAAATAATTTGCTGTTTGCTGAAACATTTGACCAAAGGCTAGTGTTAGCCGTTAGAGTAGTCAAGCTGCCTGAATATGCTCAATTGTACATTGTTGTATGGAGCTTGGGAAGAGGGTTGGTTTTTTTTAAGCTAGTGCCAATTTTCCTAATCAATCATTCATATTTTCAGTAAGACAACAAGGCAGAACTTACCTCAAATTGTCCAGAATGCAGCCTAGATTCTTTTTTCAGGACTCTTTTCAGTCTTTCAAAAAAATCGTCATCTTCTGTATCCTTCCTAAAAGAAAAAAAATCCTAATCTTTTTCTGTAACAAAATATACCTATTACTCCCCTAAATAACCTCATGATCAACTTGCCTTAGCCCTTTACTGTGACCATTCCCCATGTTGTGCCTCCCTTGTGTTTTTGATTTGCTGACTGTTTGAATGTGTTTGTGTGGTTTACGTGCCAGGGATGGTAAGGGGAAATTTGAAAAACAGGAAATGTACAGCTAAGTAAAATGTTGCATCTCGAAAGATGGGCAGGCTTGTGAGTTCTTGCTTTCATGTCTTTTTGGCTGTCCAGTGATGACAATCTGTGGAATCCCGAGAGGGGGAAGGTGGCAGATCTGAATCTCTGCCCATAAGTATATAACTTATATTATAAGTATATTACTTATATATTTATGATGTTCCCTGTAGAGGTTTCTTTATGAACATTTTACAGGTGGTAATGTGAAAAGTAGGCTTGCAAGTGTAATATCCACCCTTCATTCAGGATAAATGCAAGAAGCAGTTAACCTCCTTTTGATATTAGACAACTGAAGCAATAGGAGCTACATCATAAATATGTAAGTAATATGCTCATCATAAAAATTTTATCCAACATAGTAAGGATTTCTAAAAGAAAGTTACTTAGTTTGCCCTGGAATCAAAGCTAGTCCCCTCCTTACCTCCAAACTTCATTCCTTGGCACATGAAACTAACCTCATTCCCTTCAGTGCAAGTCTGAGAAATTTAACATTTTCAACAGCAACTGTAGCAAACATTGGCCTCAACTCCCTTAGCACTTAGATGGTTAAATATTCCAAGTCCATTTGAAATGATCTGAGATTCAGATCTGCCACCTTCCCTCTCTCGGGATTCCACAGATTGTCATCATTGGACAGCCAAAAAGACATGAAAGCAAGAACTCACAAGCCTGCCCATCTTTCGAGATGCAACATTTTACTTAGCTGTGCATTTCCTGTTTTTCAGATTTCCCCTTGCCACCCCTGGCACCTAAGCCACATAAACACATTCAAACAGTCAGCTAGCTAGAGGTCCAGAAGAATTTAAATCCCTCAAATGCCCCTCAAAACTCTATTACCAACATTAGAGAAAGATACTTCTGCTACCAGAGAAGCTATGACCTTCAGTTCAAAAGAGTGCAGCTCTCATATTTAAATATGAATACAAGGAAATGCTCCCATCCCTTAGAACAGTCACTTTGCAGCAGTGTGATGTCTTGTCGGTTCACAGCATGATGAACCCTAGTTTCCCTGACAACAGTGTTTCAGAGCAATTCTGAACTCACTTCAGCTCTGTGCAGGGTGCCTATTGCTTTAGTCACCAGTAACCCAGAGAAATACAGATAAAGAAGAGGTTAAGAGGAAACTGCCCAGCTACAGGATTTAGAATAGTGGGTCACCCAACAAGAGCATCAGGTCTGCTTGTACCAATGAAATTTACCACAAACTGAGGAAGGCTTACAAAAATGATTAACTATCATCCTTTCACTCTGGAGTTACATCATCATTATGCAAGTCACAGGGGAAAGTACACCAGCAGACAGAAGACGCCAAGATCCAAGTCAGGACATCTTGTGCTAAATCACAGCAGTCGCACACTCCATCCTCCATGCCCAGTAAGTTTCACTAGCTGCTCAAAGCTGGGAGAGGAAAGATTCAACTGCCTTCCCCTGTTTCACGGGTCTCATTCGGAGAGAGGCATTTAAGAATGCAGGAACTATGCTCCATAATTCTGACTGGCCTTGCACACAAGCAAAAGAGTGGATCCCTGCCTTTGTCACAATGCATACCCATACAGGCCAGTGACTGCTCCAAAATTACAAAAAGAACATGAGAAATAAGAACCATCACAGGAAAACTTGAAAAAGCAATATTTACATTACATGGCTGTTTGCAAGAGTGACAAGTGAGAGTTAAATAAAGCTCTGAGGGTCTGCATTACCTCCTTCCTGTACAATAGGGTTTTTTTTTAATGTTTACAGTGTGCACCTCATTTTAATAGAGCAGTGGTTTTCAACCCTTTCTCAATTGTGGCCCCCTAAAAAACTTATAATAGAAATGCAGACCCCTTTAGAAATTAGGAATGGAGGTGTGGACCCCTTTGAATTCTAAGGGGGGTATTCACATACTCTTGATTGATCATAGTCGTTGTTTGTGAACCTCTTAGACAATCTGCTGATGCCCAGGGGCCCATGGACCACAGGTTGATAACCACTGTAAGAAAGAGAGATCATCTAGCATACTTCTCCCCTCCACTTGCTGATCAAATCATCTTTGTGACAGCTCCAACAATTATTTATATGGATAAATCAATATCAGGCAATTAATTTAATGCATTTTTACATTTTCACTGCAGTTGATTGAGAAAAAAGATAGGCCACCACTGAGATGTCTGAGAGTTGACTGGACACCAGCAACTGCTCTATGGACTGTGCTGTTGCTGCACACATTTTGTTTCTTTTAATATAGATGTGCTACCATTAATATTCTTGTATCAAATTTTGTTTCAATAAAAATCTATTAAATTCTGTTAGAGTGTGTTTAGCTAGATCCAAACAGCACCAGGATTAGTACAATTCAATACTAAATTTTGCTGCAAATCCCTTACCACTTAGCATTGGGAAAATGCAGTTTCCACAAAACCCCATCTAATAAAAAGAAAAGATAACTTATTCTCTTCAAAGTTGAAAAGCAATCACTTTTGCTTAGCAGAACCAACCATTCTATGGCAGAAATTCAGTTGTGGTTAAAGTAACATTTTGATTGCCGCCGCCGAGAGCCGCGGCACGGGGTTCGGGGCCTTAGGAGCCCTAGTCGGCGGGCGGGTACTTGTGACGCTTGGAGTGGAATCAGGTACTGACGCGTTTTGATTGAACAAAAAGGTTGTTTACTTACACTGCTCGTACAGTGCAGGCCAGAAGCTTGCTTCGATTACGGCTGTAAACAAAACTTGGGTCGGGCAGAAATTGCAAAGTTCGTTTGGTCGGTCTGCAAAGTGTTCGGGGTGTTCGGGCTGGCAGTCGTCTTACGTCTCGGGTGGGGGGGTGCTAGGCCCCCTTGGGTCGGTGACGGGGAGCGATTAGAGGTTGATCAGTTCACTCTGAAACACGCGTGGAGTTTGCTAGGCTCCACAGTGTACTCAGAGTTCTCCACGAGGTGTGTGTGGAGTTCTCCAACTTGGGCGGAAACTGCTTCAACCTCTTATACGGCTAGCAAGCCAATCGCTGGTCGCCACGTAGGAATAATTTAAAACTGGCCAATAATAATGTGAATTTGCATATGAGTGGCGGGAACTTTTTCCTAAACTGTAATTTTCCACTACTGTAGCATTTGGTTACTGGGTTCAGGCACAGCGGAATTTTCCTCCATGACCTAGTTACTGCCACCAGAATGATTGACAGCAAAACTATGCCATATGTATCGAACCCATGTCATTTCTCCTCTGGGCTATACCAATTCTCCTCTGTGCTATAGGCATCTGATTAATGGGTTCTGACATTGATTAGCATATCCTGTCGTAACAAACTGCACTTTTAATAGGTGTGGTAGTACTGGACTGATATCGTAGCCGTGATGGTCCAGGAAATATGCGAGAGAGGACTTTTTACTGGACCAACTACATAATTGAGAGAGATTTAGACAAGCTTTTTGTGCATAAAGGACCCTTACTCAGGTCCTCCGATTGTTTCCCCAAGTACCTGCTGTCTCCTTATCTTTCATTTTAAATTCTAAGCTTTCTGAGACTGGGACCATCCTTATTTGTACGTGCATTGTACACTAACAAGAACATCGTCAGTGCTTTACCAGCAGTAATACAGAATTTTGGTAGATGAATTTAGAACTTATAAAATAATAATTGTTGCAATACTTCCAACCCAGCTCTTCCAATGCAACTAAGCTCCAATCTCCAACAAGTCCTTAACCTTTACATTTCATTAAATAATCTCAAACCACTGGCAAAGGGACATACTAATCAACAATTTATTTATTTATGTATTGGGGGGGAGGATTTGTCATATTCCACGTCAAATTAAATTAATGAATTCTGAATCCTCCTGAATGAGCAATACTCAATCGTTCAAACACTGTATATGATGCTACAACCAGCAAGTATCCTCCAACCCAGACTTTTCGGCCTGGGGCTTCAGATACTCCCAAATCTACTGACGGGTATCATACATGCAAGGCCCAAGCCCAGAGGCTTGGAGTTCAGATGCTCTCGAGTCTCACCTGCTCTTAACCACAGGCCACAGGAGCAAGCTAGGAGGAGTCCCCCATTTCCCTAAAGCAGATGTGTCACTGAGCTCCTTCCACTGGAGACTGGCCAGTAGAAAGCTAGTTAAAAAACTCTTGAAAGGCGAGAGTCCTGTCCGCAATGCATTGGACAGGGGTGCGCCCTCCACTACACAATGTCACTTAAATCCATCTTGGCTTGGCTAACAGACCAGTGTAGTCAGCTTGGGTAACAGACCAGTGCAGCGAGACTACACTTGATCTTGGCCCACAAGAGGCAAACTATGCATGATATTAATCCAAAGCTAAAAGGCTCATAAAAATCAATACATACAACACAATGGAACAAAGCTTCATTCTACCATCCTATGAGCACCGCTCCATCTGTAGACACCCAGTCTCTATAATGTAAAGTGATGAGTACCTTGTAAACACCCAAGAGACGCTGAGTTACGTTCTGTTTCAGCTTTAGCTTATAACCATGGAGACATATGTACAATTTTAGATGCTGAATGTAAGGTGCTTGTAGCGGGCAAACTGAGTTACGCTCAGGCTTTTTAGCCATAGTCCAGGCCTTCCTGGAACTAAGCAACAAATTGAAGAGTGCCTTCTGTAGCACTGGAAGATGCGAGTGCTATGACTGGGCACTAAGCAAGCAAGGCACAACAGCTTCCCTATAAGGAATGTGCCTAGCACAGTGCTAGGGGATTTGTGCACTGCATAAGGAATGCTTGGCACAGAGCCAGGGGAGTAAACAATTTGGGATGAAAAAATTATAAAAGCAATGGGCAAACAAAGGAACACGTGTGTGTTAGCATGCTGTGATGCTGGGTCACAGCTGCTGGGTCCCTGTTTGAACAGCAGAGAGCCAGAAACTAAGATCCCACACACCCAGTGGAGGACTCTAAGCCTGGTATCCCCAAAGGTTGCTGCTGTGATGTCTAAGGAGCCACTTGCCAGGTTGTATTATGGGGAGAAAACCTGTAATATTGTCTAGGGGTTACTATTAAAGTTTGCTTGATACCACATCAGATGAGTTGCTGTGTCAATGCTTGGAGGGCTCTGGCAAAAAGCATGCTAGTAGTAACAGTGCTGTGCTAACATGTTTTGCAAATGGGACAAAGTGAAAGTTGTTACAAGAATCTTACGTGAAAAATTACTGAACAATTATTCACGTGAAATTTCAACCTTAATGTTCCAACAACTGGTTTTCTGCATTTTGGGTTCTTCAGCTCTTATACCTGGGATGTAATGTGAGAAGAGGCTGGGTGGGTCTTATATTTAATTGGCTAGAATTTCCATGAACTTTTGATTTTTTCTTCGCAACAAGTCGGTAAGGAATTTTAAAAATAAAGATATAATAATTAGTTATGCTGTCTCTAAACTGCTTTCTCACTGTACTTCTGTAATAACTCAAGAGAGCTGTAGCACATATTTCATACTAGTCTCATTCAGCACTATCAATTTTCTGCAGTCTCCATTTTTAGATGAATAGATAACAAAATAAAGCAGGTTAGGTATTCAGCTGGTTTTGCTATCAAGACAATTTGGAGTATTTTGAGGTAGTTACTAATACAACAATTATTATTCACATATATTAATTTTAGGAAGACAATTGTTACTTACTGCATTGTACAAACTGAATTTACTGTTAGGTGCCTGCATTTTCCTTAAGAACACAAAATACTGCTTTTCCTATCCTATGCTTGTCCTAACAGATGAAAATTCAAAAACACACAGATTTCCCCAAATAAAGTTAATTTATAAGAAAATCCAACGAATTAGTTAAAATGGACAAACTGAGGGAAATAGTGAAAAGAAAATTAATAAAACACTTACACTCCTAGCAAAAGTATATGCATCTTAAGGAATAACAAAAGCAGTTTGCAATATCCTCTTATAGCACATAAGATCATTGTTTTAGTCTGCTGATAAGAAATAATTTACAAAATATTCAAACAAAAATAAGGCTTATATCAAAATGATACTGATCTCTTTTCTCTTGAGTAAAAAGGACAAACTCCACTAGTTCCTCAAGAAATTTACTTTAGAGTCAAATGAAATTCTTCCTAGAGTAGGTTTTCCCTTCTTAGAGTGGGTTTTCCCAGTTGTCAGCTCAAACATCCTACACTGACAGACTTACCATTTTCCGTGTCTAGAAACTGCATAATGCAGCCAGTCAATGGAAAGCATAAATACAAACACAGGCGTAATGCCAGTAGGCAACTTCACCTATTAAAGGCACACACCAGATTTTAAACAGCAGCAGCATATTCTCCAGTGACCAATTCCTCCACACCTACCTGACAGCACTTGTCATTTCACTGATCTCCTGTGCAGAGTCGCTGGCTGTTGCCACTGTGGTTTTATGATGAAAGGACTGTCGATTCTGCACCTGCCTCAGCACGCTGCTTTTTATCTCCAGCAGTGTCGACATGGCTGTTAGCCTGCAGCAGAGCAAAGCAAAAAGGCAAACTGATAATAAGCTTCGCCACCTGGGCTTATCTACTATAGTAAGCCACCTACTGACCTGAAGGGCAGAAAGAAATATCATTTACTTAATATGAATAACAAAAACAATTTTGTTGGAAGCGTGTTTAAAAGTTCCATCTTTATAACTTTCCTTCAGTAGACCTGACTTTACAAAAATATAATCAGAGAGGCTGAAAATATTTATTAAATATATTTTTATTAAATATTTATTTTGTTAGAGAAGAAAAACTCCAGTTTGATTCAATATACATCACTGTAGCAACTGATCAATGATAGCACTTATTCAGAATGCATTTGGTACTAGAGGAGTCTCTTCTCCACCTGGAGTGACAGCTCTTCAAAATACCTACTGAGCACAAATTGGTTTTGGCCATGATGCTGTTTCTCCCTATAGACTCCAGCATATTTACCTAAAACTACCTTAAGAAATGAGTATTTATTAGATGTATACATGTATAACACTGCCAGCAAGCTTGGCATTTTACAAAGGGGCACAATCTGAGGTATGTAGAAAACTATATGCTAGTTTGAAACCGATGCTATTACAGATGACACATTTTAGTAGCACTGAACTACAACACATCATTATAACATGCCTCACATTCGCCTACCAAATGTTGACCAAACTACCTACTAGCTTAAATCTAAATGTAGTATGACATTCCTGGGACTCAAAAACAAATAAAGACTTTGACAAAAAATTAAGTTATTTCTAGGCTTCAGAAAAACTGGACTCAAACCAGTTGATCTGGGGAGGATGAACTTTCACCTCTGGGGAGTAAAAATTAAAAAAGGAAGAGGTCAAAGTCAGTCTTAAACACCCCCCACCCCCCACACCAGACCTGAGAGTTTCAGCTTTGCTATTCAAACAAATAAAGGTCTCTTGAGAAAGTAAGATATGCTACCAGGTACCGTAGTTCCCTCAGACATTTTAGAATACTGATCACAAGCAGATTATTTTGTAGTGGGTAATAATTATTAAAGGGAGAACAAGGAACTCTTTTGTAACCTGGTATAGGGGCATTATGTAGAAAGCCAGTTATCCACCAAAAAGAAACAAGAAGTTCACTTTCCCTTCAAAGTTTAAACTGCATCAAAAAGCTTCCCTATACTAATTTCCCTGTGCTCTAGGTATCTGTCTGTGTGGTGCTGAATGACACTGGGAAAAAGAGGAAAAATCACTTCTACCACTAGGAAGGCAGAACATGTAAGGGTACCTGAATCTGTCAGCTAATATTCCGGGGTATTGTTTGATCAGATACCCTGGGCAGAGAATACAGTATATGAAGGCAAAGCAGGTGACTCTGCTACTTCTTAAACAAGGTATTTTGGTTTAACACAACTTCACACAGAGCTCCCTCTGGGATTCTCTCATTCCCTTTAAACTTGCATAACTGCTGAACATTTTGGAAGAACTCAGATTTGAGAATCCTTCACAAATTAAGATAAAAGAGGTTCAGAATAAAAGTTACAATACCAACTGGGTAGAGGGATAAGCTAGGAGGTAAACATAGTTATGTCTGAGATTAGAGCTCAGTTGCCAGTGTTCACAGCTGTCATGGTGTGTAGCCTCTCATCCCTGCAGCCAGGGACACTGGGGGCTACGGTGTCATTGCAGTAGGCTGGTATGAGGGTTTGACAAGTCAAAGGAGCTGTGCTCCAGTAGTACACTACTCTCCCTGTCCCCAGGAAGATGGGCATGGCTGGGGAATCTTCTGGCAAATATGGTACCAAGCGAAAGAGCTGTCAAAACAGCACTGAACTCTACTAGGCCTCTAAATCAGCAAGCAACACATACTTTGCTGCAATACAGTACAAGGCTCATTGCTCAACAAACAACATTTTCTTTTAGATCCTTTTTCTAATGTATTATGGAAACCTATTTACCA